CGAATTGATTGTCTCCTGCAAACTCCATTCCCCTTTCGTTCCTCTTTTATTTCTTATGGGAGGGGCCATTCACCGTCCACCTGTGGCTTTACTCCCAAGTCGATCCTGATTTCTGACCTGTTCTTTTCTTTTTGAAGCTCTGCACATTCGTACACCGGGAACAGGCTCCAGCTGTTCTTCTGCCTCACTGATATCCGACTCTGAAGGCAGCTGATAACTGTCGGATGGCCCTGGCCCCCTCTCTGCCTCCGACACAGAGCCCTCATCAGAGCCTTCCCCAGACTCCAGGACTGGCCCAGGTTCCCCTCCCCAACATCCTCACTGTCCGAATTTCCCACCAGCTCTGCTGGACGCTAACAAGCCACCACGCAAATATTCTCCTTTATTGGATTCCAGATTTTTGAATGTTTAATTTCAGGGCGTCCAGCTGCGCCAAAGCAGTCTCCCAGAGTTCGGGGTGCTACGACAGCGACAGCCCTGAAGCCTATCACGGGGGCGAGAACAGCAATGGGCCCTCCTACCAGTCTCGAGGCTCGGAGAGCGGCTTTGAGCGGCCCGGCGGGGTGCGCAGCTCGGCTTTGCGCAGACAGGCCATTCAGAATTGGCACCGCCGGCCGTACCGGAACAGCACCGAGGGGGAGGAAGGAGACATTTCCGATATCGGATCGCGGACCACCGAGTCGGAGGCGGAAATGTGGGAGCTGGAACCAAGGGTGCCCGCTGAGGTCCAGCAGGTGAATTTCTCCAGGCCAGGACACAATTCCAGGATGGCAGGTAGGGTTATGTCCACCGAGCAGACCAGAGTCCCATAGAGGTAGTGGGTTAATCACCAGTTAACTGTAACAGAATAACAGAATTAATAATAATTGTAAGTGGAGGATTACCTGTATTTAATCCCTCAAAGTCTGCCCCTCTGTTTTGATGATACTCGTAAACTGTGCTGTTCCGACCTAGGCTTCCCAAAAGCATGAAACCGACTCCTCGTCCCGATAAAACCCCTTTTATTTGATTTAAAGTGAATTCCTCTCCAGCAAAGTCCCGGCTAACAGTCTTTCATGAGATTTCACAACTACAGACCATTATCAGGCTTGGAGAGCTGCCAGGCCGATATCTTCTAAACGCCATGCTGTAGCAGCAATTACTTGGCAAGAAATCAGGAACAGATCTTCACCCTAAAGAATGGAACTTATTGTCTCCTGCAAACTCCACTCCCCTTTCGCTCCTCTTTTATTCCCTATGGGAGGGGCCCTTTAATGTCCACCTGTGGCCTTACTCCCAAGTCGACCCTTGTTCTTTAGCTCTTCCCTTCTCCTGGCAGCTCTGTGTATGCGCACACTGGGAACAGGCTCCAGCTGTTCTTCTGCCTCACTGATGT